TTTCGGAGCAATTAGAGTGAACAGGAGAGAGGAGGTCAGCAAAATGCAACCGGACACTTACATCCTGCGCTCAGAATAGCGCCAGCTTGGACTCACCCCTCCCTTCCCAGCTGATAGGTTTTCATTCACTCCTTCTCGGCAATTACGTTTTTGACCATTGTAATTATTAACAAATGTCCACCAGGCCCCACTTTTTCTTTAGAATACTACCTCCTCCAATACACATAAATACATCATCACAATATCCTCTAGTGAAAAATAAGTTTAAGTCATTATGATTTCATGTCTGTAAAATGTTGAGATCCTGACCTCCAAAACTACAAAAGCCACCATTTCATCATTTTAGTCTCTCTCCTCAAAATACAGAGCAGAGGAAGGAAGAAGAATAAGGTGGAGGTGTTTTAGGGGCTTCTTTTTCTTATCAATATAAATGATATAAATATATCAGCGATCTTTGCAAAATCAAATGGGATTAATAGCAAACATAGGATCATCAGAGACTATATCATCTCATTTGACTAAGAGAAGTAAGAGAACCAAATTTCTAACTAAAAAAATTTAAACAAAGATTTTAGAGGACTATATAAAGTAATTCTATATATGCTTCATTCAGTTTATTTACACATTCATTTATTCATTCTTTCTTTTAACAAAATATTTAGTGAACGTCTACTTTGTTCCAGACCCTGTCCAACTTTTTTACTTTTATTTCCCTAAAAATAACCTTCCTGTAAATTCCATGCATTTTCAAGCATACTCTCTCTCTTAATATCCATCAGTAGACATAAGAATTTGTAGAATTATTCTTCCATTTGGACAGATGGGAGCACACTTCCTTTTGGACTTGGTTTTCAATGGAAGAGGAAAACCGCCCCAATGTATCATAATGGCATTTAGAGCACCGATCAAACTTCAGAAATGCAGACCCATTTCAGCCAATATTGTCTTGCTGTACTTTATGCTTCCTGAGTTCCTGGGTAGGCTTGATGTTAAGAAAAGGCCCCTCCTCGTGAAGTCAGAGTTGCCAAGGCTTGCCGGGGAGTTACCTAGCCTTGCAGAGCCAAGGCTTTATCTCAAGGATAAGGTGGAGTTTGCTCTTTTTCCCCTATTGCAAAATATGAGAATATTAAGTAATCTGTTTATATCATACAGATCCAAAATCCTGGCTGACTTTTTAACGGACAAAATATCCATAGAATTTCTTCCTCTAGAAAAAGCTACCTGGGATCTTTCTTCCTATCTCAACCCTGGTCCACCCAACAAAGTTTGCCCATTTCCATTAAGTGTGTTTGAAATGAAAAATCAATCTTGTTCGTCATAGTGGGCATTTCTGGGTCACTCTGGTAATGTCAATTTGTCATTTATAGACCAATTCTGTGGAAATGCCTGGGCGGGAGCCTCTTCGTAGAGACAAATATGATATCTGAAATGTTACAAATTTTAAATGAGTTTATCCACAGTAACCACTCTATGCCAAAAATGTTAGCTTTACAAAACACAGTAGAAGGTAACCACTGAAAGAACAGACATACAAGCCTCTCTTTATTTTAAAGATTAAATTCGACACTTGGTTTCCTTTCTCAAGTGTATCTTTTTAAACCATTAACACAAATGCACATGAGGCAAATTATATGAAAACGAGCTTTAGGTCTTTAAATATATATCTCACATAGATAAATTCATTATTTAAACAGAAGATGACTCCTCTTCTGACTCACTCTATTCTTAGTGAGTTTTGCAGCTGACGGTTTTCTACTGAGTTTTTAGAATGTGGATTAAGTGTCACACCACCCACTGAGAGTAAAGTTGAAGCAGGTGAACTGAGGGTATGGTTGGAAATCTCCGCCTGTCTCCCCTGCTCAGAGCTACAGCGTTAGAAAGAACTACCAGGGAGCATCTGACTCTTCTTGCCTTCAGGCTGAGCTGAATCCAGTCACCCCAAACTGAGCGACCTTAAGAAGAATTTTCAAAGCATAAACGTTTCAGAGTAACTAGAGTTACTGGAAGTCACCCTAATAATCATTTAATGGGACTGCATCTTATTCGTGCAAATTACTTTAAGAAACAAAGTTTTATCTTAAGTTCACTTGTGCCATGTGTGCTGCAATATACTTCAACCACGTTTATCCAAGAAGCAAGAGAAATAAATACTTGGATAAAAGGAAACATTTGATAACAGAAATGTTAGGTATTCCAGCTCCTTCTTCACCACACACACGCTTCAGGAAGAAAGCCCCTCAGCTCCTTGCCCTTTGAATTTCTGATCCTTAAACCTGGAGCACTTACTTCTGCCATAAACGTACCAGAAACTCAGCTGCTTCGTAACAAAAACAACAGTCTGCTTTCCTTCAAGTATACTCTATGCAATTAAAAATATGAGATAGACTCACATCCTTGCAGAAAACATTCCCATCAAAATCTTGATTAGCAGTCTTGACAGTCAAGTCATCTGTTTCTTCACTCTCAACCACTGGGACCATGAATAAGCCATCAAGCCCATCTCCATTTCAACTTCTTTACACTTTCACCTAGAGTTACTACAAAATTTAAGTGCTAGGTGAGAAAATGGATGAAGCCAGGTGAGAAAATGGGAGGGTCAACTGGGAGGGCACTGAATTAGAAACAACAGTTCCTAATGACTGTTTCATGACTTCTGCTATAAGGAGCCCATACTGTTGGATGTTCTCCACCAAATAATGGCCATAAGCAACCATCCTACAGGGCCTCAGGATTCAACCACAGGCAACTAGCTAAACATGCTTTGAAAGAAATGTAATCAACCCAAGCTCCACTCACTGTGAAAGATAATCATTAAAACAGAAGTCTTACCAGAATAGGAAAATACACAAAATCCATGTGGCAAGTTAAGTCATCACAAAGACAATTTTACAGATATTTCTACCTTTTGCCTTTTTTGTTTCTCCAGAAAGAAACCCAGCTACAGATTTGTGTGCTATTCATTACAGTGTTGTCTTAATTTTGTGCTTGAAAATCAAGGGGAAAAACTTCTTAGTCAAAGCCTTAGGAAACCCATGTACAATATCTATCCTACTGCAGCAGAGTGCTGTCAATCCTATAGACCTTACAAACTCAAGAGGTGATTTACATCTCCTGTGAACTTAGCTAGAAGGTTATTCTCAAGGAACACACACACACAGAGAACACATCTCACCCCCAAGCTTTCTCACAGATTTTTCTACTTTAATTGTCCTGAAATTATAGGATATTTGCTCATTCCTACAATATTTCTTATATTCACATGCTATAACTTTAAGATTCTTACCTCCCCTTTGACACTGGGACAGTGACAGAGTCAGCACAATGAAGACTTAGCAGCATGGGTTACTAGAATCTTCAGACAAAGTTTTACTATTTTGCTTTCACTAACTTGGCATTTTCCCACAGTCATGTTGTAAAAGTGCAAGGAACCCATAAAACAATATGAAAGAAAATATTGTGGTTTCCTTTTTCCTAAGAAACGTAGGCATCAAACTCTTATTATTCAGTCTCAAGAGCATACATGTGGGAAGTGGGGAGATGGGGGGCTGGGGGAACCAACACTCCAGCACTACAGGGTCAGAAGAAACTTACCTAGGAAACATAATGGCCACACTATTCACACTATCCCAGGTGGCACAGGAGTACCACTTGCCTGGGACCTGGTGTTCAGTCTGGTTGACGAATCACTCCAGAACACACAGTATCCACCTTCTTTTTCCCAACTCCACCACCCGTCTGTTCCAAGTCTTTGGTAGGCATTAGGTAATTACCAAATGGTACCCATCAGACTGGAGTTTCCAAAATACATATGAATCCTTTCTCAGGTGATTTTAAAGGGCAGAATTTAAGACATGGTTCACCAGGAAGTCTTACTTAACTTTATGAGTACTTTCTAGAACCTTGATTATTTTTAAAACTGTCATTATAAATGTTGTATACCTGTCACGCCTTCACATAATTATTTTAATAAATATTAATTAAGCCCTGCCTTATGACTGTCAAATAAATAGTATTATTCCCACATCATTGATAAGTCAAGAGACAAGAGAAGAAAAGGCACACTGAAAGCACCATAGCACCAGCTAAAATTTAACTCTTATTTGATTTTCAACTGGCACTGGAGAACATTAATAAAAGAGGTCCTAGAGATTTTTTAAGTAAAAAATGCTTGTCTCAGAAACTAACACACCATTGTAAAGCAATTATACTCCAATAAAGATGTTAAAAAAAAAGAGTAAGAGCGAGAACATCAAGAAAGGGTGTACAGATATAGATACTGAAAAGATAATAATAGAATATTATAATAGACTTTTGGATAGCAAAAAAATAAACTACCCAAACTCAGTCCAAAAGTGTATAGATACAGTGAATAGATAAATGTATTCATTCATTAAATAAACTGAATCTGTAATTTAAAACTTTCCCACAAAGAAAAGTAGCCCCAAGTGGCTTCCCTGAAAAAAAAAAAAAAAAAAAAAAATGCTTGTCCATCTTTTCTTAACTGAGACACAACCATAATTACCACTGTTTAACTCCTCAGCTTAGCCCCATGTTTCCTGCAGTAATGGTATCGTTCTCTCTCTGCAACATCTGTTTTTCTACCCTGCAGGCTATAAGAAAGAATATTAGAAGATAGTGCCAAATACATTTATATAAATCTAGCAGCTTCCTTGAATTAGTCATTGGAAGGTAGTTAATATTATCTGGCAAAATATTTATTTTTGACAGAGAGGCACAGCTAACATAGGCACCTGCTTCAAAGCAAGACCTTTTTGTTGTTGTTGTCAACCATGCGGGACAACACTGATTCAGATTCTGATGGTCCACGGAAGTTCTTAGAATTACTCTGTGTTGAAGCAAAATGTGGAGATTAATGAAACTCCACAGATAGGCTTGGGTTTTTAACTTCCAAATTATAAGATACATGAAATGCGTGAGTGCTATTATTTACAAAGACATACGTATATGAATATACACTTCCCCAGACCCAGCGAGCTCACCTTCTACTTCTTCTTCATCACACACATGCTTAAGGAAGGAAGCCCCTCTGTCCAGGACAGCTTCATCCTCCATCCTATAGTAATAAAAAAGAAAAAAAGAATGCTCAGACTTCTCCTGGAGTGAGCCACTGGACACAGCCCAGCTTCTGGGCAGGTGAACCTGCAAGCTGCTGTTCATGTTAACAGGGCAGAGTCCCTCTTCCTTTGGTGTCTGCTGCTGCTTCACTCCTTCAGCTCCTCTCATTGGTGCTTGAGAATATGCCGGTCCCACATAGCTTCAGTTCTAACCTTGACAGGGCACCCGCAGGGACAGGTAAGAGAAAATCATCTCGATCCTTTAGGCTGGATGCTGGCGGGTCTCCCCTTTGGGATGCGCCCCCAAAAAAAGATGAAAGGGAAAAAAAAATACCAAGAGAGGAAGTTTGGTGTGCCTGGAGTGCTCGTGATGATCGTTTGTGGAAATCCAGCTTCAGTGCTTAGCTCTTTAAACACCCACTGCATAAAAATGTATACCCTCACACACACACACGCACACATGCACACCCACCCACGCACAGAAAGCGACAGGGAGTTAGGCTAGTGCACAGTGGAAGCCTAGCTTCCAGCCAGCCTCTTAACACCAGCACAGCCCAGTGTTCTCTGTTGAGTGGCAAGCTTTGAGTCACATGTTGGCCTTACGGAAATCTGACATCTGAGGATTATCCAGCAACCCGGCTTCGGCAACAGTCACATATATATGCCACCCATTCATTCATTTTCCACATTCTTAATCACACGTCTCTCTCTACGTATATCTGTCCCGTTAACTCTTCCCTGAAGGGCATAAAGTTGTTCATTTTGTAGCCACATTATGCTGTCCTCCTGTCGCCTTACATAATAGGATGTCTGCAATTTCCTATGCTGAATAAGACCTCAGGATCCAACCAAGTAAGGACAGCGTTTGTACGGCCTCCAGATGCCAAACATGTCTCTGGTTTATAGAATAAGTTAAGGTTTATTTCCATATTCTGTGACTTCTTTTCATTGCATTAACTTTGACATACAGAATTCCACCAACTCTATTTATAGTGAAAGCAGAAAGAAATCCCGAATTGCTCAAATGCTGCTTGTGTCGTACCGGTCTAGAAACAAAGAACATTCTCTGAGGACAGCTGTCCTACGTCATACCGTACATGAGCTCTACCAGAGAATGAAATGTTCACTCTGTATTCCATTCATCCAATTATATGCTCGGGTATTGAATACCGTACTGTAGGTCTGCTTTCCATACTGTCTGTATAACTTATCCTTGTGCTTCCCATATTTGTTAGCATCTACGTGATATGCACTGAATTCACTTTTTCTTCCTTTCTATTTTAGGAGCTTCTCACAAAGCTACCATCTGAGCTTAAAAAAGTCAGAAATATGGTGTCAGGTAGACCTGGATTTAAAAAACCTAGCTCTACCTCTTAGTATTTCTATCACCTAGAGCAAAGTATCCAACTTTTTCGAGCCTTGGTTTTACCATCTCCAAAATAGGGGGAAATAATATCAACCTTGTAGGAAATTCAAATCAGGTAACACACATGAAAGCACTCAGTTTTGTGCCTAGCACCTGTTACATGTTTAACAAAGGTTTGTTTCCTTCCTTTCTTCTTCACCTGACCTTTATTGGTGGACAATGCCATTAAGAAACTCATTACTTTTGGAAACTTGCAGAATATCCTTTTTCAGGGATGTGGGTCTTACGGGTAAAAGTTCATCTTTTTTCCTTTTCTCTACTCAAACTAAAAATATAAAACTAAATAAAAACAGGACATGGATCAGCCAGCAGGATCACAGTAGAAAAGAAAATGCCTTGAAGATCTGAGAGGTCAAGTCAGTTACCAGCCTCTGTGAGCCTCTGGTTCCCATGAACATTAAATAATCCAACATATTCACTGATTCAGCAAATATTTATTTAGTATCTGCTATGTTCCTGGCACTCTTTGAGAGGGAGGGGAATACATTTTTGAATAAGGCTGACAAAATGCCTCAGAAACTAATAATAAATAGATGAACAAGGTAATCTTAGCATTAATTGCTTTGCAGAAAAAAACAATAATAAGGCAGGGGGCTACTTAGCATAAGGTGGTTCAGATGTGGATTCTGAGGAGGTGACATTTGAGCAGAGATGAAAATGATAGGAAGGAACCAGGCATTTGACAATCTGAGGGCAGAACATTCCAAGCCAAGGGAATGGCAAGGGCAAAGGCCTTAAGGTGGGAAGAAGTTTAGCATGTTATAGGAACAGAGCAAGGTCAGTGAGGCTGCACAGACAGACAGAAGATCAACCGGAGGTGACAATGCGGGAGGGAATCAGGGCCATGCAGCTCATGGTAAGAAGTTAGCATTTTAGGTGTTACGGCAGCCTCTGAAGAGTTTTAAGATGGAAAGTGACTCGAGCTGTTTTGCCTTCTAAAGGATCACTCTGGGGCTTCCCTGGTGGCGCAGTGGTTGAGAGTCCGTCTGCCGAGGCAGGGGACGCGGGTTCGTGCCCCGGTCCGGGAAGATCCAACATGCCGCGGAGCAGCTGGGCCCGTGAGCCACGGCCGCTGAGCCTGCGCGTCCGGAGCCTCTGCTCCGCGATGGGAGAGGCCACAGCAGTGAGAGGCCCGCGTACCGCAAAGGGAAGAAAAATAAAATAAAAAATAAAAAAATAATAATAGTGAAGGATCACTCTGGCTGCTATATGAAAAGTGCATAGTCAGGAGACAAAAGAAACTAAGAAACTATCTCAGGAGCCCAGGGAAGACTATGGGAGAAACAGGTTTCAGGGGAGGAACCAAGGGTTCTTTTCTGGCCACTTTATGGTTGAGATGCTTATTATATATAAAAAAAGAACTGTCAGGCACACAACTAGATGGAGGTCTAAGAATAGAGCTCAGAAGCCTAAGGTTGGAGATAAAAATTGGGGAATCAATGAATAAAGCTGGTATCTGAAGCTATTACTAGATGAAATGCAGGAATAAAATACAGAAATAGAGGAGCTGACCTAAGATCAAGTGCCAGGCATGCCGGGCATGCCAACATTTACAAGCAGAGCAGAGGAACAGAAGCAGTCAGTGAGGTAAGAGGAAAACCAGGAAAGAGCGATGTCAAGGAAGTTGAGGAAAGAGGAGAGTGCCGCTATCGAGAGGCTGAGAAAGACCGAGACAGAGAAGAAAAACTTGGGTTTGGCAATATGGAGGTCACTGGTAACGATGACCTAAGTACCTCAAACATACCATGCACAGTGCTAGACACACAGGCAGCCTTCGGTCATTCCCTTTTCTCTTTCCTGCCCTCCTCCATTCATTCATGCAGTAAATATTTGCTGAGTACCTACCTACTAGGTGCCAGGCACCCTTCTGGGCACTGGAGATACAGTGATGAGCAAGACAGACCAAGGCTCTAGTGTAATCATATCTGCCTTCTCGAAGACTTCCCCTAGCAATCTGAGGGTTGGTCCAAAGAACAAGACCCCATCAGTAATACAGCATTTGTAGACCTAGATAAGGATGACAGCTTAATGGAGAAATTTCCTTAAAAGACCTTGGAAACACAACAAAATCCTGGAGTCCTGTACTACTGCACCTACATTCATAGTACTGTCTCCCCTTTAGGAAACAAAGAGTAGTGCGGCCCACATTTCTTCTCAGAACAAACGCTTTCCATTCCTATCAACCTACAGAATCCAACACAATTTCCCGCAGAATATCATTTCTGCACCCCACCATTAATCACGCTGGTCCCAAAGTCATTTATTACTTTTCACACATTTCCTAAATAAAATGTTTATTAGCCTTTGCACCTAAGCCCTTCCCAAAATCGCATACAACAAACAATCAAAGCAGAATTAAAGGAAGAAAGCAGTAACAATTGAAGGAGACCGTACAAACGTGAATGCCCAGAGCCCTCTTCCTGGGTGGAGAAAACCATCCAGCCTAACTGAAGCACTGTCTCCAGGCTCTGTCTGAGTTAGAGTGAGAATAATGGTTTGGGGCATTCTTTGGCTCTTTGATACATATTTCACATTCCCTCCAAGACTATACATAGCAAGTAATTGGAAACCTAGTTCTTTCTGATGGACAATGCAGAGAATCTGTAAGCAGCCTCCTCCTCCCTGTAGGAAGTGAAAAAGAAAATGTAAACTGAAAATATAAAACCTGCACGCCCAGAGCAGCCCTCTCCCGGTCAAGACCAAGTGCAGCCTGGCACATCTGGGCTTTTGCACCAAGTACAGGGATTTTACAGCTTTCTTCCATCTTTACACCACAAGCGTCAATTATTTGGGTTTGTGTTCGCCCTCCCCACCAAATCCTCTCAGCAGTTGCTTGCTATTATTAGTAAGACAGAGATATCTTTCAAAATGACCATCTGACCCAACCAGGTTTCCCCTCTACCAGTAAGAAGAAATGAACTCATCTGGTCCCTAATCAGGCCCCCAAATCCATTCTGAAATGTTCCTTTCACACGAACTGCACTTGCTGAAAACAAAGAAGGGAAGGAGCATGCTTCTAAACAGCTCCCTAGGTTGCTCGCATCGCCAGCGTGAGGCAGAGTTCAGAACAGATTTGCAAGCTTCTCACCATCATCACGGGGATAAGGGTCATACCAGTCAGTATAAAATCCACACGGGGCCGATACTGCCTTCCTTCAACAGGGCCTCTGACAGTAGAAGTTCAACCCCTTCCCCAGAAGTCCACACAACGTGGGGCTTCTCTCATCCTCCATTATTCTGGGACACAAAAGTGATTTAACTGTAACACATGTCAAATCTGCTGCGAAACGGACCGGCTCTCAGCAGCCGGTCCTAATCGCCGAACAGGCTTGGAAGGGTGACTTAAGCCCGGCACGAGAAACATGTGTGCAAAACTGTCAGCCACTGGGCCATGGGCACCCATCTACATTCCACTCCTCTGAGTTCCCACCCCTAGAGCCCTCGCCAACTGCCAACGTGCTCACCAGCTAGTCCACACAGAGCAAGCAGCTGCCACTCAGCCCGTCAGCAAGTGGCAGGCCGCCAGCACACAAGTTTCAGAATGCGAGCATGCCCTGTCACAGTGCTGCTAAA